ATCTTTCTGGTATTCCCTGCCTTGAGCCAAGATCCATCTGACAACAGCTATGATATCCCTTGTTCCACGTCCTCTTCTGAATCCGGCTTGAACCGGATTTTTCCGGGGGAAAAAATTGGCAATGTTATATAAGACAAGGGAATAATCTAAAATTTATAGAAAACTTCAACACCTCAACAACAATAAAAGACAAGCAATCCAATTTAAAAATTGGCAGAGGACATGAACAGTTACTTCACCAAAGATGTTCAGGTAGCTAATAAGCACATGAAGAAATGCTTATGATCATTAGTCATTAAAGCGATGCAAATCAAGACAACAGTGAGATATCCTCTCATTAATCCCACCATTAATAGAAAAGTTAAAAAAAAAAACAGAAAACAAATGCTGGTGAGGGTATGGAGAGACTGGAACCCTCATACACTGCTGGTGGGACTGTAATATGGTGCAACTACTGTGGAAAGCAGTATGGCACTTTCTTAAGAAGTTGGACACAGAAATACCATATGATCCAACAATCCCACTACTAGGTATATTTCCTAGAGAAATAAGACCCATGACATGAATAGATATATACACACTCTGGTAGCATAGTGTCTAAGGCACTTGACTGCTAACCAGAAGGCTGGTGGTTCAAACCCACCAGCCACTCCTCAGAAGGAAGATGGGGCAATCTACTTCCATAGTGATACTGCCTTGAAACCCAAGGAGGGGTTGCTATGAGTCGGGTCCGACTCGATGGCACATAACAACAACAACATGATCATTGCAGCATTATTCACAACTGTGAAAAGATGGAAACAACCTAAGTGCCAATTAACAGACGAATGGTTAAACAAACTGATACACAGACACCATGGAGTATTACGCAATGTCAAAGAGTAATGACGAATCTGCAAAACATCTCATAACATGGATGAACCTAGAGGGCATTACCCTGAGTGAAACTGGTCAATCACAAAAGGACATTATTATATGAGACCACCACTGTAAAAAGTTAAGAAAAGGTTTACGTACAGAAAGAATTGTTCTTTGAAGGTTGCCATGGGTGGGAAGGGAAGGGAAGGACAATCACCAACTAGAGGGTAGACACGTATTAACTTGGGTGAAGGGAAAAGCAATACACAGTAAGGGGGAGGTCAGCACAAAACCATCAAGGCAGTGGGAGACAGAGGGAGGAGCACAAGAGTCAGAGGTAACAAAGGTGAATGATACTGCATCCACAATCCTGCAGTAAGAGTAATAGCAGTAATTGATGAGGGGATACATAGGTAAACACTCAATTTGAACAGAGATGGGAAGGTACCCACAAATAGGTTTTACAGAGGCTGTCTTTACCTATGTATTTATATCTGCTTCAAATATGTTCATAAATGTAGTAGAACATACAGTGGACCAAGTCATGAAAGCATCTTTGTCACAATCAAATACTTTGAGGGAATGAGCTGTGGGTATAGGCTCAGGACCATAGTCTCAGGACACAGTAAAGTCAATTGGCATAGCATAGTCCATAAAGACAATGTTTTATATCCTACTGTGTGGTGAGTAGCGACTGGGGTCTTAAAAGCTTATGAGTGGCCATCCAAGGAGCAACTATTGGGCTCTTCCTGTTTGGAGCAAAGAAGAGTGAAGAAAATCAAACACGCAAGGAAACAATTAGTCCAAAGGGCTAATGGAGGACATAAACCCCAGCACCCACCACCATGAGACCAGAATAACTAAATGGTTCCTGGCTACCACAGCCAACTGCTCTGCAAGGGGTCACAAGAGAGGTCCCAGGTTAAGTGAGGGGAAATGTGAAACTAAACTCAAAATCTTAAAACTGACCAGGCGTAATTACTGATCTAATCAAGACTGATGGAACCCTGAGACCATGGCCCTTATATACCTTCAAGCTGGGAACTGAACTTAACCCCTGTGACTCAACTTTCAGTAATAGACAGGCCTATAAGACGAACAGTAATATCAGGAGTATGAACTTATGAGAACAATCAAGCTTATGAGATCAAGGTGACAGCATTTGCCCAGGAACAGAGCTATGACGGTGGGAGAGGAGGAAAATGACGGAGGAAGGAAACAGGTGGGTGCAGGGAGGAATGCTGTTATAATGTGGGGATTGCAGTAAATGTCACAAAATAGAATATGCATGGATTGTTGAGTGGAAAACCAATTTGCTCTTTCACCCAAATCATAATAAATGAATAAAAAATAACTATTACAATAAGAGTTTTTCTTAATATTTGAAATAATTTTACAATTAAACAAAGATAAAAAAGTAAAAAAACAGAATGAAAAGAGGAGGAAAATCAGGACCAGTGTAATTATTTTACATGTTTATTTTTCAATGAAAGCGTTTCTACAAAACAAAATGAGATTGCACTATATAATCTGATTACCAAACCACAATATACAATGAATATTGACTGTTGTTGTTGTTGTTATGTGCCGTCGAGTTGGCCCCGACTCACAGCGACCCCTCCTTGGGTTTCCAAGGCAGTATCACTACGGAAGTAGGATTGCCCAACCTTCCTTCTGAGGAGTGGCTGGTGGGTTTGAACCGCCAGCCTTCTGGTTAGCAGTCAAGTGCTTTTAGCCACTATGCTACCAGAGCTCCTTGAATAATGACTAATGACCAAAAAAAAAAAAAAAAAATGTATTCCTACATTTTAATGGTGTTTACAGAGTATTTTGCCATTGTGGATACATCTTAAATATTGAGCCCCCACAATTGCCATTTATTTATTCACTATTTCTTATTAAGAAATGCTATTACAAATATTGTGTGTGTGCATTCCTTAAATATTTCTTTAAGTAGATTCTTGGAAATAGAATAACTACATACAACAATAGGAGCTCTGGTGGCATAGTGCCTAAGGCATTTGACTGCTAACCAGAAGGCTGGCAGTTCAAATCTCCCAGTCACTCCTCAGAAGGAAGGTTGGGCAACCTAATTCCGTAGAGATACCACCTCGGAAATCCAAGGAGAGGTCACTATGAGTCAGATCCGACTCAACAGCAGTGTGTTGTTTTTGTTTTTGTTTTGTACATACAACAATATGATTTTTTTTTAAATTCCTTATTGTGTTTTGGGTGAAATGTATGTACAGTTTTAAGGATATTGAGATAAACTGCCAAACTCTACCCAATATACTACTTGTTTTCAGGGTATGAAGCTCTTGAAATTAGTAGTTTTTTAGAAAATTGCTAAAAACACAAAATGTGACACGAACACAGTCACCTCCAATTTCAATTTCATCAGGCCCACATTGTTGTAATTTTGTATCAGAAATAGCTACGGAAGGTTAAGATTTGTGTAATTATTCAAGCAAACATAAAAAATATATAAATCTACATATATCCAAGAAGACAACTCTTCGGAGATGTTTTAAAACAGACTGAAAACTACTTAGCTGTTTTCCACATTATTTTTCATGATAAATTTTTTTGTTTTCAAAATGAGAAAAAGGAAGATGAGATTAGATCTTATTCTGAAACAATTATACTTTTCATAACATTTTTTTTAAAAAATTGAGTCTTCTTCAGTAAATAATTTATATGACAGCCAATTTGATGCCAGCTCCCTGGGAACTGCTTCCCATATACTCATATACAAGATGCCAGAAATGGGTCCACAGCTGCCTTGGCTATCGTACAACCTGAGCCTTTGGTCACAATTAATTGTAACAAAAACACTTACATGACCAATGGTAGACCCATCAGATTCCTTCCTGAGAGAATTTAGAAACAAGAAATTGTATGCAGAGTCAATTTAATGATGGTGCTTCATAACAAAATCTGAAGTCTCCTGTGTTCAAGGTGTCTGGAACCCCTCCATTACTCATATTTTCTGAGGACTTCCTATTTAACTCTTTCTTGGATTCAAGCCATGTCATTGCATGGTTGGCTTCTTCAAATCATTCATATCTCAGCTCAAATTCAGACCTTCCCCAGTTACCCTATGTAAGATAGTATCCTGTCCACATCAATCCCTTTTGGATTGGTGTTGTATTTAATTCACAGCACGCATTATTCCTTTACAAATTAGGTTTGTTTTTAGCTTTATTTTTGTGTTTTGTAATAAACATTGTATTTTGGAATGATTTTAGATTCATAATAAAGCTGCAAAAATAATAAAGTATTCCCATATACCCCTTACTCCACTTTCCCAAATGCTAACATATTGTATTATGAAACCATGATACATTTGTCAAAAGTAAAAATTTGACATTGGGACTATACTATTAAACAAATTGCAAACTGTATTCAAATTTCACCAATGTCCTCTCCTGTTCCAGGAACCAACTCAATATGTTGTTGTTGTTGTGCGCTGTGAAGTCGTCCTCGACTCACAGTGACCCCTCCTTGGGTTTCCAAGGCAGTATCACTACGGAAGTAGATTGCCCAACCTTCCTTCTGAGTGGCTGGTGGGTTTGAACCGCCAGCTTTCTAGTTAGTAGTCAAGTGCCTTAGGCACTATGCTGCCAGAGCTCCTAATCTATCAGTTTCCATCTTTCCTGGTTTTCCATGACCTTGACAATTTTAAAGAGAGTGGAATGTTCTTCAGTTTTCTTTTGACTAATGTTTTTTCATGCGGCATTGGTAGTTTAGTAGCAAAATTTTCACCTTCCAAATTTGTTGTTATTATGTGCCGTGGAGTCGAAGCCGACTCATAGTGACCCCTCCTTGGGTTTCCGAGACAGTATCACTAAAAAGTAGATTGCCCCATCTTCAATTTGAGTTCAGTTCTCAGAACCTTGCATGTTACTATGAGGCTATATAAGTTTCGGTTTCAAATCCCATTGTGCATGTAATCACCATGAATTAAGCACTTGATAGCCACTGACAACATTTTCTCAGGATTAGATTAGTTATATTTTGTGGGGAAGTTTATCATAGACATTTTGGTGGTGTGCTGTCAAGTCAATTTCTATTCATAGTGACCCTATAGGACACAGTAGAACTGCCTCATAGGGTTTCCTGTGCTGTAATATTAATGGGAGCAGATTGAAAGGTCTTTTCTCCCACGGACACTCTGGTGGGTTTGAACTACTAACCTTTCTGTTAACAGCCAAGCACTTAACCATTGTGCCTCCAGGGCTCCCAACCACAGAGGTTAAGTGCTTTTTTATATGGCATGTTATTAGGAATACATTATATCAACATGCATTATCCCTGGAGATGTTAACCTTGATCACATAATTAAGGCAGTGTCTGCCAGGTTTCTCCTCTATAAAGTCACTATTTTTTCCCATTTCATATTCGGTTCTTTAGAAGTGAGTCACTAAATCCAGGCCATAGTCAAAAGGCAGGAAGTTATGCTCCACCTTCTACATGGGGTAGTAGCTATATATATTATTGCAATTCTTATTTAAGAAAGGTTCATCTCCCTTCCTCCATGTATTTAATACTTCAATGATGTATTTATATGAGTAAGCACTCCAGGATACTTATTTTATTCTTTGTGTTATATTCTCTTTATTGTTAAGAGTATTCTTTTGAGGTCCTCCACTAGATGTCTTAGTGCAGAGATTCCATCTTCCTTGTTCATTGCTATAAATCCAAAGACTAAAATAATTCCTGGCATAGGATAAGCACTCAATAAACATTGATATTTGGAAAACTGAATTCAATATTTTTCACACTAACCTTTACTCACCACCTCTCATCCCTTAATTCAAAAGATGTATATATTCTATAATCCATTCTCTGTCCAGCATAAATTAACTAAAAATTAAAAGGAAGCTATTTGGAAACTTAATTCACTTGTATTATAGTTCCTGAATTAAAAATAAAATAAAGTAATTAAAGAAAAAGTGTATATTGGAATAAGGAAACCAAAAGAATTTTTAAGTTAAGTGAGAAAACGACAAGTCTGCTTTTGCTCTTTGACACCAACACATAATTTCTGAAGATTTTAAGATCTTGGTAAAGAATCCTAAGCAAATATTCTGGTTGATTGAAGCTGTAAATATAGCTTTTTCTCTAGCAATAATGGAAAATTAAGTCTCTTAGGAAGATTTGCATTAGCTCAACCTCTTATCCAGAAAATGGCACACACTGACACATATGATTGCAAAATTAGTAGTTTTTGTGCATTATTAATGTTTTCATATCTTCTGCACAATATCCCATAGTTGTGAGCTGTAGTAAATACACAAAAATTTGTCCACAGTTTCTTAAAGACACATGGATTTGAAAAAAACAGCAGTCTTCCATAGTGCTAAACAAAAACTGCCATGTGGCACAAGCTATCAGTTTCTTGACCTCCCCAGTGGAGGCAGTATTTCTGAATCTCTCAGAGACAATCACATAGGTACCTGAGTTCCACAGTGGTTCAACTTGCATCAGAGGCAGGGAAAAAAAGAACATATTTTCACACATGGTATAAATATCAGCTTTGCATTTTTTTCTAAACAACCTTTAAAAATATTAAATTATCAATCTAATATTTTGGGCTTGAACTATATAAGAAAAAATAACTTTAGAGAATATTAAATTTAAGGACAGAGTCCTCATAATTAATATAATTTTATCATATTACAAATACATTTATTCTATTTGTATCATTATTATTGTAAACAAGGAATATTATCCGATAGTCTACTAAAATTTCTAACACATCAAAGACCCCATAAGTCAATCTGAAGTTGTTGTCTGCATAAAAACATTGATCTTGGAAATTTCATGAAAAATTGGTGGAAATAGTACATACAAAAGTTAATACATAATTCAGGAGACATAAAAAACCATGAGGGAAGGAAAGGATTGTTCAAAATCTGGTGATGAAGTTGATCTGGAAAATACCAAGATCTGGAAAATATCAAGTTAAAACTTCAATTGAAATAATTTCTAGATGGAAAATAGAAATATAATAGAATTAAATAGAAAAATTAAACCAAAGTAAATGAGAAGAAACTTTGGCCTTTGGGGAGAACATAGCCACTTACTACTACTGTACAACCTTGGGCATACACTCAACATCCTTCTTTTCGTGGCATTTTGAAAGAAAATGTCTTAATCAAGGCTCTTTAAGAGAAAGAAGTCAATCAAACTAGTTCAGCTATATATGAATCTGCTATGAGGAGAATCAGAATACAGTGCAGTTAAGAGTGTGAGCTCTGTGTAAAAATAAGTTGCAGAAATATATATCCACCCTGTGTGATTTCATTTATAAAAGTTCATAAATAGGCCAAAATAAACAATGTATTTTTGAAAGTCCCATGCTTGTGTTTACAACTATAAAAAAATCAAAGTATGTTGGGTGTGGTGGCTGCACACAATGTAGGTTTGAGCAAGAGGCGTCACTGGGATGAGTATTGAATTTGCTGTAGGTGTACTGCCTTTAGATTGGGGACCGGGAACTACTTTGAGATTTTACTGGCAGGCTGAGTTCTTTAGTCTTGGAATAGGAGGTGCTGGTCTCTAGGTTTCAAGCCATCAGAACTCACAATTAATAAAGGCAGGACCAGGTAGCAACCAACAGAACTGAAGTATTTTAAGTATATATATATATAGGGGTTCTGGTAAGATGGCAGAATAGGCAGAAAGACTGCACAGACCCTTTTCAACAAAGAAAAGGGGAACCAATTAAGACATATACAGAAGATGGAGCCCTAAGCTTTGAAGGGAAGGATACAGAAGTGGACTAAACTCCAACTAGTAAAATAACTTGTATGAAAACACCAAAAAAGAAGACATACAGAACAGTGGTCCGGCAGTGATCCTGATGGCACAGAAAGCATAGATATTGCTGACCTAAGAATTAACCTAAAAATCAGCCTGCTAACCTGGGACTGCACAAAGGACTGCTCTGGTGGCTGGTGAATAAAAGGGGAAACAGCAAAGAGGAACGCAGGTTGAGCTGTAGACTTTTGCCTATCTGGAGGGCGCAACCATTTTGAATGTTTACAAGCAGTGCAACCATTTGGATGTTTAAAATGACAGTGTTCTCCTAGATTCCAGGGAGTTAAGAACAGGCTCCACTTGCCAGGAACCACAAGGACATTCCAGACACGGACGACTGGAAAGGTACGACATTCCCCTAGTTACTCTTATATCCCATACCTTCTTGGTGAGTGGAGGTGTCGCCATCCCACATTCCCACTCACCTTTGAGGCCAGCAGGAATTCTATCCCAGTCTGTGTGCTCAGACGGAGCCGGGATGCCCTACCCCAACTGTTTTTCTTTTCTTTTTTTTAGTTTGCTTGTTTTTGTCTGTTTAAACACTATTATTATTATTGCTTTTGTCCTTTTTGTTACTATTCTTTTTCTTCTCTTTCCAGGTTCTACTTTTCAGCTTTTTCTCTTTTACCTGTTCCTGGTTCCAATTTTCCTTTCTCATGGTTAACCATGTTCCTTGTTTATCTTTTTGCATTTTTCCCATTTTTTATTTTTTTCTTCATTATTCTATACTCTACTTTTTATCTCTCATTGCCCTCTCCCCAGATACTGCAGTAGTTTGTTTTTTTTCCCCCCTGCATTTTTCTTTATTTGGTTACTGTTCGTGTGTGATTATATGGTGGGTTATTTGTCCATTTGCTTTTATGTTTTTTATGGTTATTCGATTGCTATTTTTGTCTAACTGAGTGGGAGAAAGCAATAGTGCCCATACAACACAACTACACCCACACCTCCTAGAGCTTCACTTCCTGAGTGAGAGCCACCACCTCTTCTTACCCACCAACGGGCAAATGATAAACAACCACCAAGAATAGCCTGACTCACCCTTAGCTGCTATTCAAAAACAGTTAACAGACATCTAAATACAACAATGCCATGATGTCTTGAAGACAACAGACCATCAAAGTACACACAAAAAAGCAAGATAAAGTGGTAGAAACAAGGGAACAGGATACAGACCCAGAACACATCCCTGAGGAAGAAGGAGCGTTGGAACTCTCTGATAAGGAATTCAAAAGAATTATATTTAGGTATCTTCAAAGGACTGAGACACAGATCAAAGAAAACACACACAAATCCCTAGAAGAATTTTGGGAAAAAATACAAGAACAACAAAATAAATGAAAAATTAGAAATGATTCAAAATCTACAGATAGAAATCCAGAAGAATAATACTAAATTTTCAGAAATAGACAACACATTTGAAGGGCAAAGGAGTAGAATTTATGCAATGGAAGACAGAATTAATGAGACTGAAGACAAATACCTGAATACTTCTTTGGAAAGGGATCAATCAGAAAAAAGATCAAAACACAGTGAAGAAAGCCTAAGATTCATGTGGGATACCATCAAAAGGAAAAACCTACATGTCACTGGAATTCCAGAACAGGAAGAGAAAAATAAAACCACTGAGAAAATTGTCCAAGATTTGTTGGA